TTTTTTTTTTAAATCAGGGAATTTTATAAAAGTTTACAAGTAGGACTAATATCTACAAATGTGTGATAATTGTTATTAAACTGTGTAAAACAACTACCATTTTTGCTCTCAAAACCTTAAGACCTTATCAGTAGAGCATGCATAGGGAGTAGGTGAGTCTTCATATGTTTATTGATTGTTTTGCCATTTGACATGAGTATTAAATAGAGACAATTTGCAACATAATATTCATAAATAAGGTTTTTTCACAGTCTTCCGTTTGAGTGATTGGGTTTATTTTGTTGTGATGTTTATTCCCAATTCTTGATTTGAAATCAGAAATTTTCTAATAATAAAGCATTTTTAGAGACTCTTCTAGAAATATGTTTTAGCATAGGCTATTAGTCTCTCTCTCTCTCTCTCTCTCTCTCTCTCTCTCTCTCTCTCTCTATATATATATATATATATATATATATATATAACTTTTTGCTGCTTTTATTGTTCTTCCTTCATTGACTGAAGAATTGCCTCAGTTCACCACTTTGCATTTTCTCAGTGGCCTTGAATTTTTAGAGTCCAGGAATGGTGGTCTGTTTTTTTCTTTTTCCCCACAAAGACTTGAATAGAAGGAAAAACTGAAAAGCTGCTACTAAATTTAGCTGATTATTTTTAGCTCTTGCCTCATTCTTTTTCTTCCTTCTTCTTCTTCTTCTTCTTTATTTTTTTTTTTTTTTTTGTTGTAGCATTCACTATTATTTTCTATTTGGGAGAAGTCAAAGGTTTATTTAATCTTTACATTATTCAGCTTTTTGATATTATTAAACTATAGAATTTTTATTGTTGTTGGTTTGTTTACTTTTTATCTTATTAGATGTTTATCTCACTTGTCATTTCTTAATTTTATATTCTTTGAGTTCAGTTTTGTGATTCTGAAGTAGGTAGCCAGAGGATTTGGGGGGATGACGAAGGGGAGTAACAAAAGATTGGCATGAGATTATTTAAACAAGTGTCAAACCTTTCCTGATTGGGACTTTTAACTTTGTTATTTACTATTTGAAATAAAAAAATGGATTGAAATGGAACTTAATGTACATAATATTACACTAGTTATATTCATTTGGATTGTATTAAATATTGACTCAGTTGATGCACTATATCCAGATATAGCATTACTGCTTTTACTTACACAGTGTTACTAACCATTTGTTCAAGAAATTTGCTTACATATGACAACACTAGTTATATTCATTTGGATTGTATTAAATATTGACTCAGTTGATGCACTATATCCAGATGTAGCATTACTGCTTTTACTTACACAGTGTTACTAACCATTTGTTCAAGAAATTTGCTTACATATGACAAACGATAAGGTTCATGCATAATCAATATTACCTAATGTCAGTAATTTAATGTGCCCTCATTCAAGAAAATAATGCCAATTTAAATTTGATTACCATTTGCCATGTGAAAATGTGCTAGGAAAAAAATCAGTTATGCATAAAATTGAACTCTAAATTATCTATATTCACTGTTCTCATTACATGTTAAGGAATGATGATTCGTTTGTAACCATTGTTCTGCTTTTATCCTATTTAAGTGTAATTGATTTGTACCTTGGAGTAATTCAGTGTTTGTTTGATTGAGGAATTTGGGGTTTGCATACAAGGAGACGGCAGTGTTATAAGTTATATAATATTAGTATCCTGCTGCTCTTTTTTTGTCCCCCTGCCCCAACAATATATGTACTTTTTTTTTTTAACCACTGTTCTGTAATTGAAATGCAAATTATTAGTGAGTTTGTGGTAATGGTAGATATGTTCCACCATTTCTTGAAATTGCCTGAACCACTGAGTCTCATAGATGTTTGCTGCTTGAATCGTGGGTAAATAAAAAACTACTAAGAACACAGAAATTCTCAATATTTGAAAAATTCACATTTAAGTGTTCCATAATCAGTAAGAATTGATGCTTCTGAAAAGACTCAAAATGTCAGTGAAAAAATAGTGGAATTAGTATTGACTGACCCATCACATTGTAGTTGACTCATGTTATCTGAGAAAACAAAGATAAGTCATTAAGATCCCCCCATAACTGACCCAGGCCCAGTATCATTTTTTTTTTCATTTTCTTTATGAAAAATGATTAAAATGAAAAAAATTCTATCATATCGTATTTTTTTTCTGTGTGTCATGCAGGGGACATGTTTATACCTGAAGTTAGTGTGAAATATATGTGTTAACTCATACACAGAGCAGTTGGAAAGTAATTCAATCTGTTCAACCTATAGCAATTGCCAGCTCCACTATGCTTTTCAAATAAGCTCACATTTCCAGCTCTGCTCATTTAATATATGTTATTGCTGATTTAATTTTTCAGGTGAAATCCCAACAGTGGTTGGAATCTTCAGTGCATTTGGCCTGGTCTTCACAGTTTCTCTCTTTGCATGGATCTGTTGCCAGAGAAAATCATCCAAGTCTAACAAGACACCTCCATACAAGTTTGTGCATGTGCTTAAGGGAGTTGATATTTACCCTGAAAATTTAAATAGCAAAAAGAAATTTGGAGCAGATGACAAAAATGAAGTAAAGAATAAACCAGCTGTGCCAAAGAATTCATTGCATCTCGATCTTGAGAAGAGAGACCTCAATGGCAATTTTCCCAAAACAAACCACAAAGCTGGCAGCCCTTCTGATCTGGAGAATGTGAACCCAAAGCTCTTTTTAGAAGGAGAAAAAGAAGCAGTTTCTCCTGATAGCTTAAACTCCAGCACTTCCCTGACTTCAGAAGAGAAACAGGAGAAGCTGGGAACCCTCTTCTTTTCCTTAGAGTACAACTTCGAGAAGAAAGCATTTGTGGTAAATATCAAGGAAGCCCGGGGCTTGCCGGCGATGGATGAACAGTCAATGACCTCTGACCCATACATCAAAATGACGATCCTGCCAGAGAAGAAGCATAAAGTGAAAACCAGAGTGCTGAGAAAGACCTTGGACCCAGCTTTTGATGAGACCTTTACATTCTACGGGATACTCTACACCCAGATCCAAGAGCTGTCCTTGCATTTCACAATCTTAAGTTTTGACAGGTTTTCAAGAGATGATATCATTGGGGAAGTCCTTATACCTCTCTCAGGAATTGAATTATCTGATGGAAAAATGTTGATGAACAGAGAGATCATCAAGAGAAATGTTAGGGTAATTCATTTTGAGTACTTAAAGTATTTATGAGTCATCTTTTCTGTAGCTTTTTTGTATCTAGGGAATTTTCATTAAAATGTTAAGTTTGTACATATCATCTTTACCATGTTTAATTATTATTAGTTATAACCAAATGGAGAATAAGGGAATATAGTGAATGAAAAAATAATAATTTTCCAATTGAAATGTTCAAAGTATTTTAATGATATAAAATTAATGAGCATTCTTTATTGATATTTAAATGTCATTTATTGATATTTTAAATGCCATTTATATTTGTGTTAATTTCTATCATAAGTGTTTTGACAAAGATTGCTACTCTAAAATACAGGCAAATATTTCTTATTCATAAGCAACTCAACAAAAATGTTTCAAGGTCAGCATAACTGAATTTGGAATTGAAATTGAAATTGAAATTGAAAATTAAGTCAGCTCTTCCTAAGAATTTGAAAGTTATATTGACTTTTTGTGGAATTGCTTTCCAAGGAAAAGACATCACACTATATTGAATTATAAATGTCCATCTCTGTGTTGTATATGGGGAAGTGAATTACTCTGTTTTTTGTTAAGCTACTTTGGTGGTTCTGAGATTATTAAAAATGATAAGACATCAATTAAACAAGTTTTACTCTATTTCCACTGTAAATATAGAATTCAATAATATTTCAGAATAACTTGTGTCTATAATGATGTAATTTGTCATTAATTACAATAAGCATGCTAATTCATGTTTTCAAAAAATCATAGTGTTTTAGAACCAAAAACTTTAGAGCCTTTTTTCGCCATCCCCTTGCCTTCTGTCTTTTGAAATTATTGAAGGTCAAGGTCCAGAGTCATTACAAAGCTTACTTGAGACAGTGGCACAATGAGAATAAAGATCTGTCTCCTACTCTTATTCTTCTTGAAGTGCTTATTCTTACAACTATCACATGCCAGCTTTTATGTAAATGTATTGCAGTTTTAGGAGTTCTGCCCCAGCCATCATAGTTATAACCAACCCTCAAGTTAACATCTTGCTACTTTTAGTTAAAATTTGTACTTTCAGTTCTTGGTAATCTTACTTAATGTCTTTAGAATACAAGTCAAATCTAAACAGCGTGCAGAGAAGGACCTCATGGCACTGTCCATAAACACCGTATTAAAAATCCTCAGTGAATTCTCTCCAATAGTTCAATTCAATTCATTCCTTGTATTAAACAGAGACTTAGATGTTAGGGGGAGGCAAAAAATTTTATCTTCATAAGACTTGTGGGTTGGGAGAGTGGCGTGGATCATTATTCTGATCCTCATTTTTTAAAAAAATTCAAATTCCAGTAATTGCTTGTATTAAACAGAGACTTAGATGTTAGGGGGAGGCAAAAAATTTTATCTTCATAAGACTTCTGGGTTGGGAGAGTGGCGTGGATCATTATTCTGATCCTCATTTTTTAAAAAAATTCAAATTCCAGTAATTGCAGTGCTAAAGAATTTGAAATCAAATCAAAGTTAGCATGAGTCATTTGACCCTACACACAGACCCATTCAAAAGACTAGGTGATTTTTATTTCTATTAATAACATCAAAAAAGTAGAGATGTCATCCAAAGGTAAAGGCCAAAAATATTTCTGTGTAGGGTATAGTTTAAATATCCTTTTAAACATTTCTAAGTAATGGGTGTGGCCAACTCACTGCAAATTTTGACATTTTGTAGTACCTAAAAAGACCACAAGATGGCAGGCAATTATTTTTAAGTGGTGGTGATGCTGAAAGAAAGCTTTTAGTTACTTTTTCATGTTTTAGCATGTTAAAAATAAAAATAAGTAGAAACATTGCATTTAAATAACAATGTTATTAAATTGCTTTAAAATTGTTGATGAAAGTACAAACTTCAAAATGAAAAAAATAAAAATAAATTACTTATACGGCATTTCTCTTTGTTTAGAAATCTTCAGGACGGGGTGAGTTACTGATCTCTCTCTGCTATCAATCCACCACAAATACTCTCACTGTGGTTGTTTTAAAAGCTCGACACCTGCCTAAATCTGATATGTCTGGACTTTCAGGTAAGAATGCTTCTGAGTTACTCAGGCTCAGTGTATAAGTAGATAATATATTGAGCAAAATAGTTAACTAACATTGGCCTATGATTTTTGTCTTATCTTTTATTTACAATCACAAATGGTGCAAGTGTTTCTCTGTTTCTCACTTTTTGGAATACTAATGTGAGTTATTTCCACCAGCAAAAAGAAGAAATCTACATAGTTCTAAGATTTAAGTCAAAGCTAGCTCATGGTAGATGTGTGATTGAATAGGGTTGAAGCAGAAAGCAGTGATAGAGACAGAGGTGAGAGGTCATTGCTGAAAGTACAGAGATGGGAATAAAATTAAGACTCCGGAGAAGAATTTTTAATTTTAATATTTTAAATGAGCCCACCTACACTTATTCCTCTATTTTTTAAATTATTTGTTCTCTCATTTTTTATGCATCTACTTTTAGAATCAGCTTTAAGTTCTGTGACTAATTTCACAAAAATAAAACAAAACATTATACTCTTGTTGAATAGCACAATGAGAAGGGACAAATGGGTTAAAATGATCTGAGTTCAAATCCCCACCCTCCCAATTCCTAGCATAATATCTTTGGGTATGTTTTTTTAATTCTGTACAAACTGACATAATAATATTTACCTTGAGAGGCATAGTGAGGACTAGAAATATATACTTTATTAAATATCATCTAATGTTGTTATTATATTATTAATAGATGATGGAGGTTGAAA